TATGAAATATGTTTTTATAAAACATTATCGAAAAGAAATTACAATAAGAAACTTTGCATATATTGCAAACAATTCTCAGTGCAAATGCTTTTGTTCGCCACTGTATGCGCGTGAAATGTGTGCACATATGAATAACTAAAAAAAAAATATAAAAAAATAATAATGTAAATATGAAATATGTGAAACTATGAATTAGAATATATTAGAATTAGAAATTAGAATAAAAAACTTTGCATATATTGAAACAATTCTCTGTGCAAATACTTTTGTTTGCCACTGTATGCGCGTGAAATGTGTGCAAATATGAATAACTAAAAAAAAAATAATAAAAAAATAATAATGTTAATATGAAATATGTGAAACTATGAAAATAAATGAATGAAAAATGAATAAAAAGTATGGGTATATTTCAAATACGTGGACAGAAAATCAACGGCTACGTTCAACGAAATTTTAAGGGATTGTAGGGAAGTACACAGAGAAGGTTGTTATACTATATACATTTTATTCCAATCCGTCAAATCACTTAGAAGGTATGGGAATCATATCTATATAGGTATTATATTCTATAAAGTTACAAAGGCAAAGGCGCAGTCAAAGGCAACGACAAAGACAAATATAAAAATAAGGACAAAGATTAATATTGATATTAAGGGAAAAGATGATGAAGTAGAAGATAGAGATGAAGAGAACATAGCTCTTCGTTATCCGTTTATATTTGTAATTGGTAATTGGTGTAATTAATATACTTACTTAAATATGTGTACAGCGCAGATCGTATCATTTCTGCATTACTTGGGTCATCAGATATATATGTCACATCACTCGGGTATTGGCGCCTAGTCTCCAACTCCTCCAAAGCCTGTAACCATTTACTGTTTAGGAAATCATTGCAATCATTTAGAAAGTTGTGAAGGATGCAACATGCTTTAATTATGGAATTGGCATTCCGTATAGAGTTGTTAATTCCTTTTCCAACGCGACGAGGTGTCCAAAAGCGTTTTCGACAACACTACGAGCTTTTGAAAGAGCATAGTTAAATACTTTTTCATTTGAGTTTTGATTTACGCTAAATGGGTAGGGTTTCATAAGTTTTTTGCTAACTCGAAAAGCCGAATCTTCAATAATAAATACTGGCACATTTACACCAGAAATTTCCCCAGTCATTTCGCTTAGTAAGGGACAATTCTCTATCTACTGCTTAAAAGATGATGACTCAAAAATTTGTGAGTCGTTGCATCGCCCGGGACCCCTGACGTTTATGTAAATGAAGCGGTATCTGAAAAGGTTAGGCATTATCGTTTATTTACTTATACCTGTATCTGAAATTCAGGATTTTACCTAGCATCAACTAATAATAATAATAATATCCCAACGGTTTTTACAGTCCGCATGACGTACGGAACCAATATTTTAAATTTTTGTGCCGAGTCACGATAGGCAGGGGTTTGTTAAGTGTCGAGATCTAAAACTGTTCGGCTACAGAACTAAATTCATCAGCTGATTTTATGTATTTATGTCAATA